ACTTTATTCTCATAATTTTATGACTTCTTGTTGTGACTTTATTTTCGTAATTTTATTACTTTATTCTGGTAGTGTTACAACTTTATTCTCGTAATTTTAGGACTTTATTCTCATAATTTTATGACTTTATTCTGGCAATTTTACTACTTTATTCTCGTAGTGTTACTTTATTCTCAAAATAGAAAAAGAAAATCTCTAGCCTGGCCCTAATTCTACTTCATAGTTTTGAACATTATTTTATAGGAAAAGGTATGAGGAAAATAGGGGAGCACATCCAAGAAATTGCTCAAGACAAAGTGAGCTACCCAGTGCCTCCAGTGGTCATTTTTTTATGTGTCCAAATACCCAAATTACCTTAAAAACTTAATATAAAAATTATTTTTTAACTGTTCTGATTTAACTTTTGTTTAAGCCGGAACAGTTGCACAGTTGAAAGGCATAGGCTGCTATATGGTTCGCATGGTATGATACCTGGGATAAAACATAATTAATATTACAGTATCTGCACAGAAATAAGAAAATAAAAAAATAACCTAATTAATTCTTTTTTGTAAAGAAAATCAGCTATTATTTCTTCTACAGCTGAAATAATTTAACCATTGGATTCTTTTACTGATTCTCATAAGTTTTCCTTAGTCATTTATACACAGGTTTAAAAAATATAATGTATTAGCAATTGCCATAGTGGTTTTCAAATATCTGTTAAGAAGAATATTCTACACTTTTTTGATGTTTAGGAGAGTAACACTGGAATTGCAACAAGGTGAAATTAGCTTGACAATTAGCCGGGCTAACTGTTAAGGATGCTATCTAACAAATGTGTAGTTTATAGCTTTACAGGTCTGTTGTTGAATCGTCATTATTTGAATGATGTGTGGCACTCCTTTAGTTTACGAACCACAGCTTCAACCAGCTGTAAGCGGTCAGCATTTCATAAGGATAGAGAAAGCAGTATTTTGAATAAATAAAAACAATGTTTTTTTTCTTGAAACCAATAAGCTTCTTTATTTATTTGAAAATGCATTCAACATGCTTATTTTCTTTAAATATTGCTATTGTATGGAATACACACAGTAAGTGTTTAAAAGTATTTCATTGTTGCACTTAGTTACTGATACAAAGGTGTTGCTGCCTTCTAGCTGGCCGCTATGAATGATGCTCCTGAAAATAAAGAAATAACCATATTAATAGTTTAGTGAAACTAACATTTAAACCTAGCAGAAAAACAATCTGGGGAAAAAAAGCTGCTTAAAATATATACTTTATATGACGGATCTTGCAGCTACAAATAGCTTAACTCTGTCTGTTATTTCCTCATTTGTAATTAAGAAGGGCATATGGAAGTTTTGCAGTTTTGGTCTGAGTTAATGAAAATGCCTATTAGATGGGGTTCGGATAATGGCAGAATTTAATACTATATTAATTCTCTGGATGCTGGTATGTAGTCAGCCTCTTATTCTATTTTGTTTTAACATATAAAGACGATTTGATCTGCTTTAACTTGTGCAGATGGTTTAGGGAAACAAGAATTAATATCAATCTTCCAGGAAATCAGAGCTCTTATCGAGAGAAACCAAAGGCCTTAACTTTTTTAAGCAAAGCATGAAACACTGTTTCTTTAATATGAACTACAAACAAAGGTCGTATTAAAAAAAAAGAAGGTAATTCACACATGTATCAAACTTTATATTACCGGTATATTAAAAATGTATAAGCCCCAGATATTCAACAAAAAGTAGTTCAAGGATGATATGAATGTGATAAATGGCAACACTCTTTTCACAACAGGTTTTTCTTTTTCTCTACCCCAGCTCTTGTGTTCACCGTAAATTGTTTCAACATTTTCTTTTTATAGCTATTGGGTTTAACCCCTTAAATTAAAAATGAAAATGTGTTCCCTGTGGTTTGATTAGGCATTGAAGAAAACCCACCCCAAGAGCTAAAACAGTATATTTACTACACAAAGTCAGAGTTATGTCCCTCTACTACAGCCCAGGACATTTGCATTCATTACCACCAATTGTTCCCCCCTCTATGTACCAACCTCCAACTTTGATTGAAGAACGGTTAATAATTCAGCACTGTGAGGCCTTGTAGTTGCCTTCACAGCTGCATGGGGTCTGCCAGTGACAGATGGCTCAAAACACATGGCGACTTTAGTGCCAGTATCTTCCTCATTATTGCTGGACACTGTGATGAGGCTTCATTTTCCCATTCTCTCCAGCCAGTAGTTGGATGCTATGAATTCAATTATACCAAAAGAAAGAATGCAGCAAATTGCTGAAAATGAACAGTTTACATACTGGCTAAAATGCTTTTGTGTTTTAGTTTGTTTGTTTTTATAGATGAAAGCCTTGAAATGCTGTAGATCCCGTAATTAGACGTGTAATAACTCAAGTTTTTACTTAATTCCTGATGTGAACTGTTGATTAACTATACATTGTTCTTCTGTTGCCCACTGATACAATATGCAGATTTCTACAGAAAGACTCCCTTTATAAACAAGTGATTAATAGTTACTGAACTATCTACTAATGCACCCGTAAACATGTCAAGTCATGATTAAGAAGTTGGGGTGCCTTATTTAAAGGATGACTCATAAGTTAAACTGAATTTTTTATATATATATTTAATATATTTAAACCTGTATTATAGTTGCTTAAAAATGTCTTATTTATAGCATAAAATTTCATAAATTCTATGTTTTTTAAGGTGTTAGGATTATTCTTTGTCTAAGCTCAGCTGTGAAGCTTCCATGCAGCACTTAACAGATACCAGTTTTTACTGAATTGTCTGGTTTCTTTTTTTTCCAATGGATCATTTGAGCTTTTTTCTCTTGGCATATTATGTGTTGTCATCATGCAATGTAATCCTTTGAATGTATACAGTTAGAATACATATTTCTACACTGTTGTGTGGTCAGAATATTTAGTTAAACACATTTAGCTATTTAATCACAATCCATAACCTAATGAAGGTAGGTCAAAAAGATAATTGTGGGTGTCCTGTTGTTTTGTCCAATCAGAGCTGCCAGAAAACTGGACAGACACAAAGGAGACCCTGCTGGAAGGGATGGTGTTCAACGTTAAGTACCTTGGTATGACTCTGGTGGGACAACCTAAAGGAGAGGAAATGGCCTCAGCTGCCATTCGAAGAATTGTTGCAATGGTAAGTAATCTAGAAAGAAAAATAAATGTTGACAGTTGCATTGCCTTTTTTGTAGACACGCCCCTTATTTGGTAAATTTAAAAATGAATTTGGTTCAAAATCCAGTGTAAATTGCAATATGAATGTCTTTATTTAATGTTTTGGAGCTAGGTTAAAAACTAGAAGACTAGTAGAATCAGACGTAACAGATGGTGGCTTTAGCAGTTTGATATTTCATGCATTTGCAAGAGCCAGAATGGTTTTGAAGTAACCTAATTTGAATAAAAAATCATAAACATATAATACTATGAAAGGTAAGGCAGCAGATGAAGATTATGAAGGACTGGAAGGAGAAAGAATCCTGGTGCTTAAACTTATGTATCCTTTTTACTGAAATGCCAAGGGCAATTTATTATCGCAGTAGTAAAAAAAAAAAAAAAGGGTAAGGAAAAGAAAGCATCAGCGTACATTTAATAGATAAAGACTCAACCAACTTTCTTCTATAGGTTACAAATAAAGGTTAAGAAGCAAATATACTAGTTTAAAAAATGCTACATCTCAGTGCGCTGACAAATTCATACAGTCATGAGAGATTAGAGCCATGGTGGGTATCCCCACAGCTCTCTCCAATCCTCTTTTGTATGGCTGAATTCAGCAATGAGATTTAACTTGAACCACTCTTGGTGTACTTAATTTTAAGACACATTTAAATTTCAACCATTCTACTCACTTCAGAGTAAAAAAAAGTTACATCTAAAGGCAGTTTATAGGAATCACAGCTCTGTAGTACAGAAAATGTAAATGTATGTAAATATATCACACCCTTTCAATTGGCTGGTAATAACACTACAAAACTAAAGGAAATTCCCTCTGAACTGAGGTTTTCAGTTGATTTGATGCAATAAACTTAAATCTAATATACAATAATCAACAATTAAATGTAAGTTGATCGTTTGTTTTACTTCCCTACTTTAAAGATATTGTGAAGGTTGAGAGGAAGAATAGGTCATGATCAGGAAATCAGAAACACTCAGATATGCTAAAAACCACTCTGTCCACTGAGATCAGACGGGAACAGGCAGGCTCAGTGGTTGAGAGGCAGAACAGGACAGGACGCTAAAAACCCTCTCATTAGTGACACTAGAGAACGAGAATAATCTGGCCCTGATAACTGGATGCAAGCTACTTAAATAGAGGCAGGAGCAGGTGGATCAGATGAGCAGTGATTAGAAACCAAGCAAAGTTAGACTGGTGAATGGAATGAATAATTAAGTCAGCCATCACCTCCAAGATTATGACATTATTAATCATATTTTTTTCACTAGGATTAAGTATTACTTAACTGATTATTCCCCTAAAATTTATATATATTTGTGTTTTTCTGTGATGTTTTTTCATGTACAGCCCTTTAAATTGTCTTGCAGAATGTGCTATATAAACACACTAGCTTTGCCATGTGTTTATTCTCACCTTCAATCTATGTAATGCCCATATCTATTATAAACTATGTTGAGAAACAGCATGCATATGTTGAATAATGTTGCATTTAGATGTGTGTCATAATTGGCTCTAAATGTAAATGTAAACCCAATATTTTGAATGCTACAGATCCCTAAAATAAAGACAGTAGGAAATCAGAGTCAAGACTAGTTTATAACTCAGAATTAGATAAAAAAGACATTAGATTAAAACATCCTTCACAAATATGCTTCCTTTCATCAATTTAAACTGCTGCCAGTTTTAATTTTTAAATTTTTTTTTTAATGAATGAATAAACCTACTTAGGCAGTCTAATCACACCTCTTCTTCTCAAGTAGACTGCAGCAAATCTAATGGAAGGATTAAAATTCAGGTGATTTTACACCAAGAAAAAAACAGTCATTTTTGTCTTTGTCCGTTTCCCTGGAAACCAGGCCACCTTAACCAGAGAACAGAATACATTTGGGGTTTTTCCATTTGCTCCACACTTCAGATGTGATGAGACAAGACAGCAGGACCGAACATACAGAAGATGTCACCCTGGAATATTTCAGGCTGACAGATTGCTTTTTGCCTGGTGGTATGTCACTTGTAACCGGGCAGCGGGAATTGTCCATGTTTCTACATGAACAAGCTCTGGCAGCAGAGTCATCTACTGATCCCCTTCCCTCTTTTTGATAGATTTTATTTTATTTTTTTATCAAAAAATAACGAAGGCTAAAACCAAAACTACTGCTTATTGAATCATCTCAAGGAAATTTGGGCCCATTTCAGCTGATTATGACACTAATATTTGTCCTTGAGAAGACCTATTTTTTTCTTAAATAAAGATATCTCTATATAAACCCCTCACATGCTTTTTTATTTAGAGCCAGTTAATTAAAATTTTATTTTTCTGCTAATTTGCTGTATATTTCCTTTTCAAGCTCTTTTACATTCCAGTCCCACCTAAGAAAGATGCTAAACTTCTACGGCTTGACTTTTAATTGTATGGTAAAGCGGTCAGCCGCTGTCTTTTGTCAACAGGGCTCTCACAGATTACAAACTCAGCACTACTACAGTGATTTAGCTGAAAGCCCAGATGGTCCAGAGCAGCAGGGGTAGTCAGTGGCTGCCAGTTTGACCTGGAGCAGGCTACTCATTGCACCATTTCTCCCCCCATTCTGTCGCCTTTTATAAATTCCAATGCACATTCCTGGGGCAAAGGAAGTCACTTGAAAGAAGCACAGAAGTACATTGTCACAGTTTGGAGTTTTTTTTTTCTGGTTTAATCTAATGTAGAATCATTCTATGTTTTCATCAGTCTGACAAGGTCACCTTCTATGAGCTTAAAGCAAGATCTTCTCCATCTGATCTTTATTTGCTTTGTTGTCACTCTAACATCAATAGGCCAGAGCCAGCGCCAAGAAGTTTCGGAAGGTAACCCTGACAGTGTCTCCAAAGGGCATAATCATCACAGACACAGAGACTGCAGATCTGATTGAGAATGTCTCTATATACAGGTAAGTTTCAGTCAGAGTCTAAGCATAACATAGCAGACACTAACGAGTATTTAAAGAGTGGTGAAAATATGTTCACTCAACTCAAGTGTTTTCACTGTCACTTTTCAGCTGCAGTTTAATCTATTTTCTGTCGGTTTTAGTTGACATATAAATTCAAAGTTATATATAATTCTTAAGCTGAAAGAAAAATAAATGTGTTTTCAAAATCTAACTTTTAGTCCTACATGTTAATTAAGGCAACATTGCCTATCACCCTGTACAACCTATCCAATCACTGTGTTTGCAGCATAATGCTTTGGGAATAAATGTCTTGAACAGGTCAAGGAAAATTGAAAATTTTTTGAATTTAAAACCATACATCTATTTTATTTCACTTTATAGTTACTTCTACTTTCTATTGGTACACAATATATAAAGTTGCAATAAAATACAGTAAAGTTTGTAGCTATAAAGTATGCAAATGAGGAAAAGTTACAGGAATGGTTGTGGACATTTTTGCATAGCACTGTTGTAGCTTTTTGATTTATTGTAAGAAATTATTTCTAAGGTTTGAATAATAATAATAAAAAAAAACTGTAGGAAACAGCAATTGAGAGCAAAATACTTAAAATAAGTATACCAGAAGGTCATATTTTTTAAATATTTTGATAAAGTTGAAACAAATTGCTCATATTCAGTTACAAATGTTTGAAAAAGATGAGCTTTTTGAAACATTTTCCTGTAAAATTTCACAAAGGGCGTGGTTTCCTTATAGACATATTACATTGGTATACTTTCATACAGAAAATCCTGAAAAAAATGCAATTAGTGGATAATCATCATTTGTTCTGGGGTTGGGATTCTTTTAAATTTGTAAAGGAGGGACAGCAGATTGTCATTAGAGGTCTGTATAACTGTTCATATCAGTCCATGTGTTTGTGTTCAACTAAATCCTTTTCTGATTAACCTTATCAGCTGTTACAGTCCCCAGTGTAGGTGTACTGGTTTGGACCCTTTACTTTTCTCTGTTCAGAAATATATTTTAATGCTTATATCATGATGGTTGTGAACACAGGTAAACATCCAACATAGTGCTTGATTTGACAATCCCACAGCCAGTCTACTCAAAGCCAAGGACAAGGAAACAGGCCACACACACAAAGCCTTGGCCTACAGAGAATGGATATATCCTTATTTATGAGACCCCTCCCCCGCCTTTTCAAACCCCCCCTGGACTGCACCGCCTTATATCGTTATTTTTTGCACATAAACTGCTTGTGGGAAGACAGCAAGTGAAGGGTGAAAAGGGTGAGGGTAGAGATAAGAGAGGATTAAATCCAGACTGTTAATACAGTATTGCAAAGCAACTTCAGAGGACAACATTTGAATGCACAAGCTGTGTGTGTGGGTGTGTGTTACGTAGGTTTGTGGATTGCTATGGGATTCATACCTGTGAATGTACAAGTTGCACATTTAGTTTGTATGAACTCTGTGGTGTCAGTGCTATATTCTCTCTGTCTGTAAACTGTAAACTGAGTTGTTTCCCTGTGGGGGCAGCTGGAGGTGTAGCAATATGCAAGCAGACATAAATGCATTGTTCATTACACTGGAAAAAATACCCCACACATACAAGACATTGAAGATCCCCACTTAAATGTATTTGTTAAAAAATGTTTGTCCCCATACAGATTTTTGGCTTTTATTTGTGTTACATAGCTGAAAAAATCTTAGAAAGGAATAGTCAGCGGAAAGACAAAATGCTATTTCTATTTTAAAACTATAAAAAAACAAACATTTGCAGCAACATAACTTTTAGATTATTATATAGAAACTTTGGGCCTCTGTTGGTACCAGAATTATCAAAACATTCCTTTCGTCCTCATGCATGTTGGATTGTACCATAGCAAAGCCAAGACATTTTTTCTTTGCATTTGTTCCTTGAAGGGGGACTAAGCTTGTGTAAACTGAATCATTCTCTGGCTGTATAAACCATTATCTTTTTTAGCTTAAGGTCATGCAATGATGCCGTTCTCTGATTTTACTGTAAAAACTGAATTTATGGTTCTATCAATAATCGTTACTAGTTATTTTAGCAGTAACCCATGTCAGACCACAGGACCAGTTATTTTGTATGACACCGTCAGGCTCAAAAGAATAGGGTCTAGTATTCAAGGCAGACAAACAGTTATATTTCTCTAAAAATTTATTGGAAACTGAGGCGAAGTGATCAGTGTCTAAGGCAGGAACCTCTGTGGGTGGAGACAGTGGGTTAGTGACCTCTTCTTTCTGGAAGTGGATGATAACGAACTTGTGATTAAATTACCTGATCTTATAGTTAACTACGAGGCCACAAGGTGAGGATGGCTCCAGCTGGCCGGCTGTCAATGCGGTGCGGCGGTTGCCCGACAGAGGGTCCCAGACGCTGATGTATCGGTGGTTGGAGGAAAGGCAGGAGATCAGAAACAAGCAAACATATGCAGGCAAGATAATCCAGAGGGCAAAGCCAAAGCCAATATCGGGGACATGATCTTAGCCAGAGCCAGGAGATCAGATATCCAGTGAGGTGCCGAGGGAGAATCCAGGACGGAGTCGGGTCAGGTTCCAGATTTTGTACACAAACAGGCAGAGATCCAGCAGGAGTCAGAAGACAGGTCAGGCAAAGAGATCGGATGGGAACAAGCAGGCTCAAGAGGTGGAGAGGCAGAAGAGGTCAGAATCAGGTAATCAGAATACAGAATGCTCTCACCAACAGCTCGAAAAACAATCTGGCACTGATGACTGGTCTGAAGGCCGGTAAAATAGAGACTGATATAGGTAGAGCAGTTAAGCAGGTAATGAGAACTGGGTGGAGCTTGGCAGGTGTGTGAAATGAGTAATTAGACCAGACATCAGTGTCAAGATCATGACGGGCACTCTTTCTGAAATGTTGTGCTATATTGCTGTCCAGATAAAAAGGATACAAACCAAACAATTTTTTACACCTCTTCTCATTGGTCTGTGTATTTTCTTCAAGAGTAAAACACCGCACATGTGGTTTTCTAGAATGCAAAGGTCTGAGAAATGGCTTTGTAACCTTTTCCAGACTGACAGTTGTCAGTTACTACCTTTACCATTTATCTCTTCAGAGTTCTTTAATTCATATGGCTTTCTAGAACTTTTAGGCTTCTTCATACTGAGAGACAAATTCTAATTTTTCCTCTAATGGGGTAAAAATGACAAAACAAGCTGAGTCTTACAAAAAACGTAAATATTCACGGTTAATTCAGTACTCAACATAAGCATGAGAGAATTTGGTTGGAAAGCATTTTAATGTATTCAATAAAGTTATAATTTGAAAGCGATTTTTTTGGGTAATTATTCAGGTAGTGTGTGAGGGTTGCAATGTGACACAGTTCTTAGCATGGTTGCAGTACAGCAAGGTCCTTGACTTGAGTCTGATGTTGTGGCCTTTCTGCGAGAAGTTCACATGTTTCTAGAGACCCTAAACAAGACTTTGTTCATTTTTTTTTACTATGAATGTGCAAATGCATGGTTTTCCTGTGAGTCTATATTGTTTTCTGACATGACCTTTCCAAGGCGAACCCTCCGCAATGACCAACAGGCACTACCCCCTACATGACCCTGCAAGGATAAGGAGGTATAGATATTGGATGGACCTCTGTCTGATATTCAGATTGCAGATAACGGGCATCAAGAAGGCCAGCGGACTGTAATAAATTTAACAGGCTGTTTTGTTAAGCAGATGACAAGCTAAGCTGTACATTAGGAGTAATATATTATCAGCAATGACTAGGCCATGGGTTAAGCAACTCTTTAAATATTGGCTGAAATATCATTATTTCTACCATAAAAAAACATTTTCATCACAGCTGGAGCTAACTTGTCTTTAATTCTAATATATTTTTAGAAAATACATAAGAATTATGAATAAAAGAAGTGTGTGTATTGTAATAGAAATATATGAGAGTGGATTAAAAAAGCATATTTGAAGAAAATTATTTCTTTGTTCTACAGAATAGAATGACTGAGTTTATATCTTGTGACTAGAGTTTGCAAATATTGGTTCTCCAGCTCTAAGTAGAGATGTAGGAGTCTTTTTTCAATACAGCAGCTTACTAGATCAGCCAATGATTGGCTGCTTTGATCCTGACTATTGACTACTTTGTAAAGATTTTAAGCCTTGCAAGGAAGCTAATCTGTAACCTAATATTGAAAGTGAATACAGTTCTCAGTGGTCCTGTTTCAAATAAAAACATCTCACATTTAAAAGCTGACACTGATCCTCCCAGTGAGAGGAACATTGTGAGGGTGTTTGCAACCTCCATCTGGTTATATGTTAATCATTCATATTCCCATGAGAGCTCTCAGCGACCAACCAGCATATCAATCAGCGAAAAGCAGAATTGCTGACTGACAACCCACCTTTTAATGATGCACATTGCTCTGACTCACTGTTTGTCAGATAACTGCACTGAAGCTACAGAACAGAATCAGTAACATCCTCAAAAATGTGTTTTCCTTTTGTGTCTTCTCCCACTTATGCTATCACAGTGGGGTCACAGTGGAGCTGGTGCCTAGCTCCAGCAGTGTGTGGCGGAGAGGCGTGGTAGATCCTGGTCTGTGGCAGGGCAACACAGTGACACACAATGACACACAACCATTCACACCCTCACACCTAACTACTATTTGGAAAGCCAATTAACCTAACAGTCATGTTGTTGGAAAGCTGGAGTAAGACAGAGAAACCACACATGCACAGGGAGAACATGCAAACTCAATGCAAAATGACCCCAGACCGGAATTCAAACCCAGAGCATTTTTGCTGCAAGGCAGCAGTGCTATAAACTGCACCACTGTGCTGCCCCTTTGTTTCTTATTCTATTTTATTTTTCTTGAAAAAGTGTGACCGCTGCTCTTCACTAGACACTTTATTTTTCACTTTTCTATCTCGACCTGAAATTTTATGAGAAATGTATTCCCTTTGCAACAACAGCAGGTGGTTTTTTATGCAGCTTATGGTT